TTTAGATCAATAGATGGGCAAAAAGTGGTCGTAATCGGGGATCAAAGCATGTCGGTACACTGCAATTCATCAAAACATTTCAATAATTACGACGTGTGGGTTGAACACAAATTTACAAAAGCATACATCAGTTAGTTGACCAGACAAGCTTATATCGGTATAACAAAAGGTGGATTTGTCGTAAGCCCTTCTAGATGTTACTGACGCTCGTACAAACTTAATATACTCTGCACCACAAGCGCTGCAGGATATAATTATTAGAAAATATTTTCGTGAGAATAGTCTCTAAGGTGAGGAATATATTGTTGAAGAGCAAAGTTTAGCTCCTTCTCGTCTTTCATCGTTAATCGTCTCTAAGTTAGTCATTAAGATAATAATAACTCGAAAACCACGAATGCGAATTAAATGTTAAGGAAAAGTTCTTCAAGAATTTATGATTTAGATATTTTATATAAATATAATTTTATTTACTAAATATAACGGAATGAGTACCGTAGATTAGAACGAATGTTCTCCCGTCTATCCATACATTTTTTTTTAATGCGCATGTAATTAAGAAAATTTTCGAAGTAATCGAGAATATACCGTAAAGTCAATAACGATTCGGGTAATCCGTACGCACGATGCTGCGTAACTTTAATGTGACACATAGGACGAGGAATAGGGAACGATATGTAAGCTGTCAGCTAACATATTTAGAAAATTGCATATGAATTTAAGCATTTCACATCACTTAGCCGATATATGATATACATCGTAGGTAAGAGGTTCGAAAAAACAACGCAACAACTGATAATCAAAGTCTAAATAACTTAGATTAGCTAGATTATAAGTTTTTGTTCTCAGAGCATTTCTATTTATGGATAAAACTATAAATCTATTTAAAATTCGCATTGTAAAAAATCGGTTAAACGAATCGACTTGACTAAATTGTTTGATTCGTTATCAATAATGTAAATAGTCTGAACATTTCTGAAATATAGTTCAAGATATTCCAAGCATTGGTGAGCGTCAGAATTTTTAAAAAGATTAAGTTTTTTCAAGATTTCGTAAAAGCGAGTTTTTTTCTTGAAATAAATACATAAAGTAAAGTAAATACTGGACTAAGAAAAAAAAAAGAAAAGGTTTTTCATTAACTTGCACACACATTACAAAGAGAAAAAAAGTAAAACAATCAGTTTAAATTTATGAAACGATTGCAATAAAAATCTTTCGAGTATTTAACCTGCGGCGATCACGTTTTCCGCTGTCTCAACAGTATTGGGAAAAGCGTAGGTGAGTTAACAAAAAATTGAAATGAAAATGGGAGGAAAAAAAAAAAAATAAAATATTTATAACAAGTAAGAACACTGTGATGCGAACATTACCCTACAACTAACTTTTCATATAACAACATTTCAAAATAAGGTGTTATGTTGGAAGTGATCGAATAAGTGATCCGATCTCAATCATTTTCAATAGAGCTTTTGTCCTTGCGCTGAAACATGTCGGTGTACCAAACCATTATGGCAAAAATTGCGACCTGGTCGATTGAACAATAAAAAGTAAGACGGACCGACGTGTGTAGATCGATGCAAAAAATGTTTCTTAATCGATCGGTGTAATAAAAAAAAAGTAAATTTATCTAGTACTTCTGCATGTTGCATATATCTGCATAAACTTAATATACTCTTCTACCGCAGCGAATGTAGAGTTTAAAAATAGAAAAATATTCGAAACAATAATTTGAGTCAATCCGGGTCTAACGGTTTTTATCTGTTGAAACCCTTCACAAATAATTCATCCATTACTGAGGTTCGTTTAATGAAAACGGTTAAAAAGTCTTATCAAGACGTCAAATCGTACACCACAGTAGCCGGATATTTTTCAAAGAACAGTAATTGCTTTGTACTTTCTTTAATTTTTATTTATTTATTTATTTTTTTTTCGTTTCTGGGCTAAAACGTGGTTAATTTACGGATATAGGAATTTTCTTTTCCTCAACTTTTACCCAAAATATACATATAGATTCCCATTAATAGAGGAGTAGAGGAAACTATAGAAATTGGCAGCAACGCTACAATGAAGTCATGGGAATTACTTTAAAATAACTCTCAGCGGAATATTTAGCATTAATCCCTTGGGCTTTTCTCGCGCAAACATTTTTGTTTAGACATTTTGACTGAAATGCAGGAACGAACATACCACCACCACCACCACCCACCACCAACACCGTCATCGTCATCGTCATCGTCATCGTCACCACTACAATAAAATAATAATAATAGCAATAACAACTGCAACAGTAGCAACAACAACAAAAGAAAATTACAAATAAATCAGTTGTGTTGTCCAACTTAGCCAACTCAGTCAACCAAACAGACAAACACTCTTCTTCCATTCAGCACAAAAACTTTGCATTGTTTCAGTTATCACTTACACCGCCTTTAGGAGGTCATATTATGGCATTACCCAGTCAGTAGTCAAGAGAATTACCACAACTTCTTCTCTCTGCACTAGCGATTCCGGTTTTAATACACATAGTACACGGTGCACACATAAAACACATATTTTTATTTTTATTTTTTTTTCTTTTTTTTTAAAGCTTTTTTTTTTTTTGTTACGAAGCAGAAGATGAGATAAATGTATACTAAGTTTGCCAATTGATTTGCAACACTTGCTAGCACGCATTCAGCAAATATCTATTACATTCGATCAATATGAGATGTAAGAAATTCTAAGTAGATACAGTTTTTTATACGCTTACTCACTCAGATCATTGCAGTTGGTACATTTACAAAAATCATAACGGATATTGGGTTGGTCGCTCGATGATAAGCTTCGATTAAGTTAAGCTAAAGAACTAAGTCGAACTTTGTAAAAATTTAAAATATAAATCAATAAATAAGATTATGTTCAAAATCGGAGCATCAGAAATATTAATTGGACAACTTGTGTCGAAAAATTCTTATAGACATGCAATCTCCGTAGGCGATTAATGTAAAATTAACCGAAAATGAAGTGATTTTTATGCATTGAATACTATTAGCTGTTTTATATATATATATCTCTATGTAAGATTTTATAGTGCAAAAAAAAAAATAAATAAATAAACAAATATTAACCTTTTCTAAGAGTGAAAAATCACAAAAAAAAAGATTTAAAAAAAAAAAAAATTTGAATAACATAAATATAGTTGTGCATGTTCTATTTTTAGGCCCGATATATATATATACATACATATATATTTTAATCATATCGGACATATTAGTTGACATGAGTGTCTAAGATTCGTCCTAAGATGAGCACATAGTTTTCTTGCTTACTTCTTCTTCGTAATCTTCGAGGCAATAACTTTTTCTTAAATGACTTCACATAAACATCAAAGACAAGCCAATAAAGCTATTGATATCAATAAGGAAGAAAACAATGTGAATTATTCAATGCAGACAGTTCATGATTTCGATGGTATAGAATAATCTCTTAGGTTTGAAATAAAAATTATCACAAACCGGAGATGAAAGTTTTTGTTAAATCTTATCATAATTTCTTATGTACACTTTATTTGTTTGTTTGTTTGTTTGTTTGTTTTCTAGCAATTTCTCCTTTTTGTTTTTTATTTTCCGAACAGTAATACAGCGATACCCAAAGGATGATGCTGAGTAACAAAGAGTAACGACTAGATCGGAAAATACTTAATTTTCAACCTTTCACTAATAAGGGGCAAAAAAAAAAAAAAGGAAAAAGCGAGAATTCGCCACAGCACTGACAGATATATATGTGTAAGTATTATATTAAAATTATGCGGAGACCTTCCTTCCATTACAACAAATCTATATCTACAAATATTTACAAACTGGATCGAAACATGTAAATACATAGATTTCGAGTCGGCTCGCCCATGCTCGTCCGTTAAGTTATTACTTTACAGTCTGATTGTGATCGTTAAACTTTATAACAATTGATTTTTATTAATGATCGGAAAATGATCTGATTCTTTAAATGCTTAACTCGCCTTTTACTATTTGTATCGATCGATCGATTCAGATCAATTGAACAATGTTGTGTAAGGAAAAATTGTAAATCATTTAGTTAAGCTAGAGATCAAAAATTTGTATTAAGCTTGTGTGCAGGTCCGCTCAACGCCTCAATAAATTTCATATTGCCTTATATATATGCTATACATACAAGGCTATCTATCTATCGTGTGTAACGTAGATTTTATAAGTGTAAAGAAAAAGCCTTAAACGTGGTTTTTGACTCGTTTAATCGATTTTGATTATTGTTTTCAGTTCGGTTATATGCTGTGACAACAGCAACAGCAACAGCAACAGCAGCAGCAGCAGTAACAGTGCAATAGCAATAGCAACAACAATAAACTTGTACATTTCTTTATTAAAGTTTTGTGTCGCCAGAACTAGTCAGCCCTCTTTCTCTGATGCTGTCTTTCTTTCCTGTCTACTCTACTCCTCTCCTCTCTATCGCCCTTTCTTTAACTAACTAAGTCAGTTCAATTTTACAACAACAGCAAAATGATTCACCTTTTTGGCGTGTGTGCCTTAATTCAGAGTCTCTTATGATAAATAACAATAAGAAAGACAATCATTAACCATAGTAAGTTTACTAAAGATAGTTGCTATTGTAATGTTGTGTGGAAAGGCCATTATAATCATAAAATCAACACAATAACATCACAACAGCGCAACAATGTACATGTATATGCAAAAAGAAAAAAAAAAAAAAAAGAAAAAAAAAGGAAATTATTTCGTATTAAATTTAAATTGTTAATTTATTGCATTGAAGTAGAAAAACAAAATGTAAAAAAAAAAAAAAAAAAACCAGACCATAGCACAACAATTTTTCTATGAATTTCATCACAAATATTCCCACAGTCACTTATACAAATATGCTGGCTGGTATTAATATACGAGTTTCTATACCACTTGTAATAACAACAATATGGAATATATATATATATATATATATTATGTATAAAATATAAACACATTTAAATTACTTACCTTCCCGACACTTGCACTCGTACGTTAAACCAGTCGATGGCCGACATGTGCCACCATTTTGACAAGGTGATGGCGAGCATGGTACATATTTGGATTCACAGTTTTTACCAGTATAACCGCCCGGGCACATACACCTACAAAAAAGAAATAAACGGATGGAGAGAAAGAGAGAGTGAGAAAGAGAGAGAGAGAGGTAGAGAAAAAGTATAAAAATAAGAATTTTTTTTTTATATAAAAAAATTATTTTATGCAATCTTTTCGTCGTTCATGTTTGGAATTGCTATTTTGCGAATCTATTGTGTCCCGAAATTTACGCACCATTGGAATTAAATAGAAAACTAATTTTTTGCTTTTTTTTTTAAATTGCATCTTTTTCCTTATATATATATATATATATATATATATATCAGGCATACGGCTTTCACTCTTTCTTCACTCTTTTATCGAAATTTTAATCATCGAAATGAGCGAACACACGATCAGGCAATGTTTCACGGGATTGAAAGGCAAGTGGACACCATCTCTGTTAAAACTAGAACAGCGCCAGCAACAGTCATCACTTTTCACAAGTATTGTCTAGCGGTGAAAACATGCGTTGCTCTCTCGTGCAATGCTCTCTATTTTTATTAATCCTAAATTGTCAGCTGTCAAGATGCTTCTTCTTCTTCTTCTTCTTTTTGTTTTTTGGCGGCAAATCCAAATCTTGCATAAATTTTGCTACACACTTTATTTGCAAAAGCTGTAGGAGAAGTGTCAATAAAAGATTTCTACCGACAGACTTAAACTTAACATAATTGAAACAATGAGATATTTTGTACCCATGTCAATCTTTACTACTGTTGGGATAATGCAAGAAAGTCCCCTCTTAACATTTCGAAGATTTTCGAATTTTTTTTTGCAGTTAGTAGTATAAAGTCATCCTTGAAATATTAAAATTGTTAAACTCGCCTGTTTGTTGCCACACGCTGTGTTAATTAGTTTCAACTTGTAGATATTTCCGCGTTATTTTCTCTAGTTTAACTACATTATTATTACATACAGAAGACAAGAGATCTAAGACTGGGCCCGAGGTCAAAGGCATATCTGCTGCTTTTTTCCAGGAATGAAGGGAAGAACATTTCTTATCGACTTTTTCAAATACATTGATAGGAAGGACAGGAAACGGAGAGCTCTATTCATTTAAAGCTTACGAAGCTCACGCTTTTCTACACGTTTCTGATATTTGTTAACGGTTTCCTTGTCAAAACGGAAGTGATACCTATATATATCAAGTAAGCAAAAGGAAGTCAACTTTCTTTTTTAGTTTTAATTAAAAAAAAAAATCTACGATCGCTGCATTCACTAACGAGTTACATTTCGTTTGAAGTTCTAACGTCAAACGGATGCGATGATGTGAAGTGAAGAACAGAAGAACAGTAATGATAATTACAAATAATCGGTAAATTTTGTAAAAGAAGCAAACGCTGGCTTGTTTATTTTCGAGTCCTATTTTTCCTACGCGCATATCCAAAGTATTGGAAATTTCGAATGTAAAATAATATTTGATTATTAGCTAATTAATATTTCAGTTCTTCTCCCCGGGCTCTTTGGTTAAGCTACATACAGATCAAATTTGCGTTCATATCAACTTGTAGTGAGAAAAAAACGTATCTAATAGATTTTTGTTTGTGTAAGTTTGTGCAAGTATACCATCAAGGTTTGGAAAGGTTTTTACTTCATGAATAATAAAAGCATTAAATATTTATGAGTTTAAGGAGCCTAAGGTTACTTATCAACTACACACACACACACACACACACACACATGCACACATACACAGACGACCAACAATTTATTACTCGTAGAGATTATGCACACGAAATTTTTTTAAATGTAACGAATTGATTCAAGAAAACTAACAATAAAACAAAAATAAAAAGCTCGACACATTTACTGACTGATTGATTGATTAGAGTCAAAATGATTTTTTCAATCTTAACTGCTAATCGTTTCATCAGTTTTGATAATGCGCGACAATTCAACACAGCCGGAGGCAATGCAGGCTTAGATGCTGACTTTATTATGAAAATACGATTAAAGACGATATAATAACTTCCCGAGACATAGTCACTTAAGAGGCTTAGCATTTAAAATAGCATTTACGCAATCCTTTGATTAAAAGAATCAAAACAACATTTCTTCATTCTCATGAGCCGAGAGAAAAATCCTCAATAATATTCAAATTTCAAGTATAATAAATATTCGTGAAAAGTTCTTAGCAATATCTTATAGGTTGAGGAGATACGGTATTAAAATTGAAAGCAATATACGTGTGATCAGGCCTTACGAGCGAGCTTTTCGTTTACTTCATCTGGCTTGTGACCTTCAGTGATTTGAAAGAAAACAATATAAGATCAATTTTGCCATTGTCAAATAAAAGTTCCGCGATCACAATTTGAAAGAAAATAAACAATTTATGGTTTTTTTTTTTTTTTTTTTTTTTTTTTTGTTAATTACGATTTATTTAGAAAAAAAAAAATCAACTTTTGTACCCGCCAAAGTAAAATAGATTTGCAAAACATTCATAACTTTTCGCATAAGACATGTGACATAAGAAGATCAATAAGTTGTAGGTGTCTGCGTTGTTGCTCATAGTGAACATTTTAAATGGCTTGCATGCATGTGTTCGTCTCGATTTGCTGATAGTCCAATGAAATGCCGATTATTTCCTCGGAATTTTGAAAAAGTGCATTTTTTTTTTTTACAAAATTTCCATAATCACTCTTAACAACTTCTCCGCTCCGGAGCTATCAAAATCAATTAACCTAGGTGTTCGTAATAAGTTTTTCTTCTTCATTATGTTGGCTTTAAAATTGTGAAGTAATTTGTTCAACTTTTGTACCCTACACCATTCTTGTATATAGGTAGAGTATATTAGGTTCGTGCAGATGTCTCTAATACGGAACAAAGCTTGAACTACATCCACCTTTTATTAATTCTGTTTGTCCCTCTGTCTGTCTTACATTGTTGTGTACAAGTTGCAATTTTTGAGATGGTGCGCTGCTTACACTGACGTGATCGTGACGTATTAGCTCAATGACAAATGCTATTTAATATGATTCGGAACGCACCACTAAAAGAATGAATCTATCTCCGTTCAATTCGTTCACTTACAGAGATTCTGTTCTTGGACTTGTCAACAGAAAGACAATATGTAAGGCTTATCTCATTCTTATTGACAACGAAAGAAGATGTCACAATTTTGCCCTTAAGCTCATTTTGACTCACTTGAATATATTGATAGTGCCGTTCTAGCTGAGTTCAAGGGTTTTGTACTTAATAGAATCGCTTACGATTAGTATGTATATCTAGATCCCTAGCTCTTGATGTTACGTAGAGACCAGTTTAACAAGTTTGTGGGCCAATTAATTAATTCAAGATTATTTTTAGTTAAGAATTCTTCGAGAAATGCTTCAGTCTAAAGTTTACGAACGAAACGGAAAGGAAACGAAAGGAAATGATAAAAAGCCTACCGTCATCCCGCATAAATATGCAAATGTTAGGTTATAAACTTTATAATTAATCTATAGATTTTTAATAAACAATTAAATATTTATGTAAACATACGTTGACATAAGTTGACAAACGGAAAGATAGATAGAAAGTTGAGCAGTAAACTGGTCGATGATATAACAGCCGTCGAGTTTCCTTCTTCGAGAAAATTAATTATGCAAATTTTTTTACTGTCAGCTCAAACAACTTTAACATATGTACCACCACCACCGCTGTCATACCACAATGTTGCAGGGTATAAAAGTTGTGGTTTTTCAAGACAATAAAAAAAAAAAAAAAAAAAAGCAAAAAATTGTGATTTCTCTAAATAGTTCATAAACGTGAACAGAAAAGCAGAAAAGCTATTAAAAATCGACAAAGTTTTTAGTACATTTTTATGCGTAAAAGTTCATTATTCAGTTAACTATGTGCAAGGGTTTTACGATCAAAATAATATGTATTTGGGAACTCGTGTTAAATACGATCATGTCGACTCTGTTGTGTATTGCAGTTTTTATTAAATCGTCTTAAGTATTATTATTATATCAACAAAGTTGAAAAGCAAACGAATTCATTTAAATATTTTTTTCGATATTATATTTATCGAGTGTGAGATGTGATTTATTTGAAACGTTTATTTGTTTTAATTAAATTCATCATCAAATCTAAAGCAAATCATCCCATAACTACCATATGTTTATGTATATGTGTGTTACCGTCGTAGATTATGAAATCCGTCTGTCGTCTGAGTCGTTGGGGCTATTGATTAGCAGTTAAGCGATCATTGGTTTTTTTTTTTTTTTTTTTTTGTTTTGTTTTGTTTTCTTTCGCTTGCCATTAAATTGTTGTCAATTTGTTAAACACATTTTAAAAATTTCAATATCCATAAAATATCAATAAAGATATTTTTTTGTTTTTTCGCTTTTTTTTCGTTTTCATTTTTAGAATACCCCGCCACAACAATATTCACAAAGTTCACATTGAAATGCAAATTTTTGTTTCAGATTATCATCATGATCGTCATGATCGTCATGATTAGTATTGTAGTTACCGCTCTATTGTCGTCACAAAATAAATGGTCTTTTAAAAGCTATTCATTCTCGTTTTGTTTTAATTATAATTTTTAGTTTAATTTTTGGATCTTTTTGTTCGATTTGTTCATTTGTTCGTTTGTTCATTTATCATACATAATATATACTTACTGATACGATCCGTGAGTATTTAAACAAGTTCCACCATGTTTACAGGGGTTTTGTTTACATTCCTCAACATCGTCCATACATTTATGACCTTTAAAGCCTTTAGGGCAAATGCATTTGTAACTGGTACCACCAGCTATCGATGTACAAGTGCCGCCATTATGACAGGGAGACGTAGCGCAAATATTTTGCGTTTCACAGTGTTCACCTAAGAAACGTAACGACAATTAATATGCATTTTAATTCAATTGAATAACACACAATATCTAGTTTATGCCTCGTTAACATTGCGCTCTAGTCTTACATAATAATAGAGTTTCCCTTTGCTGAAACTGAAGCGTTTGTTATTTTCTTTTCTAAATTTAAAATCTATTCAAGCTTATTGCAAGCTTATGTAAAAGCAAAAATTTTCACTTTATTCGCCAGAATAGTTTATTACTGCTTCATAGTTCAATATGAATTGTTAATGGTCCTCGCGACCATTGAGGAAAATGGATTATGAAAATGTATAACATTTTAAGTCAATCAAACAATAGATGGGCTTCACAGCACAATGAATATTTTACAAAAATCACACATAAATTGCTGGAGAATTGCGAAAAAAAAAAAAGAAAGGAAAGCATTATTCCGCATTAAATACCGTATATGACCTTCGCCTAATTGAATTCGTCATTTATTTTCGTCATAACGTATTAAAGATTAAAGTTTGCTTTCATACATAAAGGCAGACTGACTATTCAAGAGAATCCTTATATAGGATATAGGCTTCATATAAAATAAACTTCTCTTTCTTCTTCTTTTTCTTTTGCACGTTAGCAAGTCTGGCAGCAGCTGTTAAGGAGAGATCTCAATCCGAACCGAATTTTTCACATCCAACTACTTGGTGATTTTTGTCGAGAAATTTTGAAAATGTATCCTGGAGAGGGGGGGAGAGGGAGGGAGAAGGATTGTTCGTAGATATGGCTCGGTAAAATCCGTTTTCAGTCGGATTCGACCTGTAGTTGAAAGGCACTTTTGTAATAAATCTTTTAAAAATATTCCAATTTTTGATAGATTGTACTCGTACAATACTTTAATATATATGTGCACGTATATAAAAGTGAAATCATGTCTCGCTCAAATATAACGGTTAATTAACTAATATTAAATTATCTCAAATTTACATATAAGTAAAGTAATAAACTCTTCTAAGGAATCGACGAATTAATTTAATCCTTTATCGTTTTTATTTAAAACACTTTTATAACAAAATGTTCCTTTTTCATAGAGAGACATTTTTCAAGGACGCCATGTCCAATGTGCATTTATGTGCAAGTACGATATGTTATATGAAAAGACGAGAAAGATGATTTGAGACTTTTGACATTTTCATTTAATAAACTGCTTTTCGGTTCCTTAAAAGTGTCTAATGTAGTTAGTCACAATAACCTAATCTAGGTTAGCGCATTTTATCATTACGCGGTTATAGCGGTTAAATTTTGTGATTGTGTAAGTGAATAAAGTAAGAGAGATTCGTTTTGATGAGTTAAAGCTCCAACTTAGTGCCGGCAGACTTGAAAGAATTTGGACAAATGGCTCTTTTTTTTTTTTTTACTTACCAGTATAACCGTTAACACAAGCACAAGTGTATTCCTCCAGCGTCTTTAAATTACAAGTGCCACCATTTTTGCAGGGCGACGAATCGCAAGCATTTTTCACAGGAATTTCGCAAAGCGATTCGGAGAAACCGATGGGGCAAATGCAAGAAATACTTAGGCGATCGTTACGATAGGAACCTTGGCATGTGCCACCATTCTGACAGCGACCTAATCCGGTTAAACATGGATTTGGATATTCACAATAATCGCCCACGTACTTGGAACTGCAGCTGTAATATAAAAAAAAAAAAAAAAATAAAAAAAAAAATAAGTAAATAAAAACTTTTAAAAAAAATATGAAATAAAAGGAAAACTTAAATATGCGGTCTTTTCGTCCATCGTTTTTGCAAAGGTATATCGGTGAGGCAAGAGTGTTTAAGTAGTAAGGACTCAACTTTCTTTTGGTATGATTGCAATAACAATAATAACAACAACAATAAATTTAATTAGGCCCACGCAAAACACGCACTACAATATAAATATATATATATATATATATATATATATATATAAAGGCCGACACGAAAAATAAACAAAGCAACACATTAATGATTGGTATTCAATACTTATACGAGCCATGTTAAAGAGGGAACATGTTGGCATGTAGCAGCAATACAGCAGCAGCAATAGCTGAAGCACTTTACTCAACCAAAAAAGTCGATATGGAAAAGTTTCCTCCTGAGAAAATAACAACAACAAAACAAATGCAATGCATACATATATATGTATATATGTATGTATAGATAAAATTGAAAAAAAATAAAAAAGGAAAGATATACAAAAAGTAAAACACATATAGCATACAAGCGCGGTAAGAGCAGCATCAGCATCAGCCTCAGCATCAGCATCAGCAACAGCAACAGCAACAGCAGTATCGCTAATTATAAAGCGTATGATTTCGTCGGAACCTAGAGACAACAAACAAACCTACAAACGAAACAACGAATCTTATAATGTTTATATCTCAGGAAAGTGTGTATGTAAGTAACAAGCCAATGCTGTTATGGATGGAAGGCTAGTTGTTAGTTGCTCGGATGGATGGATAGTTATAGTTGGCAAAATTGCAGTAGCACAAATCATTAAGGTGCCTAAGTTGCGTTGGTGTGTGTGTCCGTTTTCTACCGTGGGTACAAGTGAACAAGTTGCAAAATAAATACATATTTATATATATATATATATATATGTGTGTGTGTGTGTGTTTGTGTAAATGTATATATGTATATATGTATAGTAGATGTCATGTATATTTATTTATTTATACATTTATATTCATTTATGTATGTATTATGTACGTGAAATATATATATATATATATATATATATATATATATATATACATGAATATAAGTTTCTATACACATATGAATAATGTGTTGCGTGCCATTCCTTCTTTAGAGATTCCCTCACAACTTTAAAGTGTATAATGTATCGATCTCATGTACGCACATACCAAACATTCAGGCAACCAAACGAGAAACCAAGCAAGAGTTTATTTATTTACGTACATTTCATATCAGTACATTTATGTACAAACATTCTATATATGTAACGATTTTTAAATATGTACACAAATCATTTTACTAAACTCTCTTGCAATACATACAAAACAACAGAGACGAGTTTCCTTTATTTTGCGTTATTGCAACAGTTGCTCCAAAGAATTAAACATCGCAAGACACAAATAACTGTTGCGATTTTATATACATACATTTATGCATGAACATATACGTTCACTTACTGTATATGTATGCATGTTTAGATGTACTGTTTGCTGCTACTGATGATGATCGGTGGATTAAACAAACGTACAGAAAACAAATATCTTAAATCACATTTTCACTTCAACAGCACTGTTTAGCAAAAAACAGAAAAAAACAGAAAAAAAAAAAAAAACTCGATGTATTTGATAAAAATGATGATGACAACAGCGTATATAGCGAGCAAACTGAATTCCTTGTTTTAAGATACTAATCAATATCGCATTGACTAGTAAATGAAATGTGATACAAATCTTTTTAATGCAACTACCATAAAATAAGTAGCACTAGCATTAATATCAGCAACAACAAAAACAATAAATAAATAAGTATTATAGTATCTGGTAGAATGATAAACATGCACACAAATATGTTGCACATGCGTATGTATGAAATTTTGCACAAGTAGAAGTTGAAAAAACAACAAAAAATAAATAAACAAAATGTATATTAAAAAAAATTTTATATTGTTGCTTATGTGTAAGCAAAAGGAACGCAAAATCTCATATATAAAATGCATCAACATCAGCGTTAATCAAAGTATAACATACACGGTGTGTATTGTGTTAAATAACATAGGTTGTGATACATGACTCGTATAAAACGATACACCAGCCAACAGCCGACAGCCGACAGCCGAC